AAAAAAAGCGCTCGGAGAAGACAAGGAAAATCAACCCCCTACCAAACAACTAAGGTTGGCTGACTCTGAAAGTTACCAATGTCACGTCTGTGATAAACGAATCAGAAGATTGCATAACTTCAGAAGACATTTGGCAGGTCACGAACGACCGTTCTCGTGTACTCAATGTCGTGTTTCATTTACCAGGAAAGATCATTTGAATCGACACATGACGACCAAGCATCAAGATGGTGGAAACGTTTCAGCTCTACCTAGACCCGCTCGCATACCCATACCAGAACCACCTCACATACAGTCTCCCACGCCTGGTCCGTCTCAGTCTCCGACACCTGGATCATCTCAGTCTCCCACACCTGAACCCTCTCACGCAAGGTCTCCCATAGTCGAACCTGTAAATACACATCAGTTTTCGGATGAAAGCAGCTTAAATGGCTCCGCTAATGTAAGATCCATCTACCCTAACGAAGCTGACAATGCTGACTTACTTACCTTCTTTAGCAACACCAAAGAAGAAGTTGTGAAACATATCACAAAGCAGTGTCATTCTTTACACGGGATCAAGTGGTACCTCTGTGTACAGGTGGAGCTAGAAAAGGAAGATAAAGAAGGCAACAAACAACAATCCTACCCTCATTTCCGGAGTAAAAATTACATGTATTTACCCGATGAAACATTTTCCCTCCATAATTTAAATGAAGCATTTCAGAAAATGTTTGTTTCATTCCAAGACTACCTGAGAGAGGGATCTAATTGGAGACTCAAGAAAATAGTGAAACTGGAAATTAGTACTGCAAACTACTCACCCTTGAGTGGTTCTTCCTACCTACCAACACCAGCCACTTTCCGATATTCAAGCATCATCAACATCGTCAACAAAGACGAAAAGTGTTTCCTGTGGTCCATCTTGGCTTCTCTCCATCCCGATCATCAGGTTCCGGAACGAGTGACAAACTACATACCATACGAAGCAGAACTGAACATGTCTGGGATACATTACCCTGTGACAATATCGCAAGTGGAAAAGTTTGAAAGACAAAATGACATGTCCGTGAATGTGTTTGGATATGAGGATAAGGATATATTCCCCCTGTATGTTACGAAATTACGGCAAGTACGTCATCATGTCAATTTGTTGTATTTCAAACAAGGTGAGAAACGTCATTATTGTCTCATTAGGGATCTCGATAAGTAAAACTTCCAAAAGAAGGTGAAGACATGTTAGAATTTGAAGATTTTGTGAAACAGTTGAAAGTTCCGTTTGTCATCTATGCAGATTTTGAAACTTTCGCTCAGAGAATGGATACATGTCTACCCAATCCAAAACAATCGAGTACGACTCTAAATACAAAATTCGAACCCTGTGGGTTTGGCTATCAAGTGGTCAGCATAGATAAAAAGTATACAAAACCTCCCGTCATTTATCGCGGTTCAAACGTGAGTAAAACTTTTCTGGAACATGTACTAGAAGAAGACAAGGAAATCCAAGACATTTTAAAACATGTAGAACCTTTAGTCATGTCTCTAGAAAATGATCGAGAGTTTCAAACTAGCACAAAATGTCACATATGTAGTCAATATTTTACGCAAAATGTCAAAGTCAGAGACCATTGCCATTTGACGGGTGAATTAAGAGGGGCGAGTTGTCAGGGTTGCAATCTCAATTTTCAATATCCCTCTTTTATCTTTTATTCCCATCATATTTCACAATCTTAAAGGGTTCGACGGTCACATCATCTGTGAAAGTATGGGCGTATTTAAAGACTCTGACATTAAGTGTATTCCCAGTAATATGGAAAAATTCATTTCATTTAGTTTGGGAAATCTCCGATTTATAGATTCGTTTCAATTCATGTCTCAGAGTCTAGAATCGTTAGTCAAAAACTTAGCTTCAGAGGGATTAGGATCATTTAAACATCTATTCAGTGAATTTTCTGTAGAGCATGCAAACTTGTTGTTGGGAAAAGGGGTTTACCCTTACGAAAACGTGGGCAATGAAGACAGATTTGACGAAACGACATTACCTCCAAAGTTGGCTTTTTACAGTCAACTGAGCAAATCAAACATTAGTAAAGCAGATTATGAGCATGCACAGAGTGTCTGGAATACATTGAGAATTCAAAATTTGGGAGAATATCACGATCTTTATTTAAAGACGGACGTTCTACTCTTAGGAGACGTGTTTGAAAATTTTAGAACCATGTGTATGAATTATTACAAGCTAGATCCGTCTCATTTTTATACAAGTCCCGGACTTGCATGGAGTGCTGCACTCAAAATGACTGGAGTTTGTTTAGAATTGTTGACAGATCCTGACATGTATCTGTTTTTCGAGAGCGGGGTGCGGGGTGGAGTGTCCATGATATCAAATAAATACTCAAAGGCTAACAATTCCTACGTACCAGAGACGTACGATTACTCAAAACCTGACAAATACATTCTCTATACAGATTGTAACAATCTGTACGGTAAGGCCATGGCCGAGCCGTTACCCATGGGAGATTTCCAGTGGGTTGACAATGTGGAACATTTCAATGTCAAAAACATACCCATAGACGGTGACATGGGATACGTCTTAGATTTAGAATACCCACCAGAACTACACAATCTTCATTCGGACTATCCGCTTGCTCCGGAAACCAAAGTCATTTCTGACGAAATGTTATCTCCCCATAGTAAAGAATTATGGAAAATATTACACCCCAGTTTCGAATATACCGACAGCAAACTGTGGGGACGCGTTGCCACTCCTAAACTCGTACCCTCGCTAGAAAACAAGACGAAATATATCTGTCATTATAGAAACTTGCAGCTTTACTTAGAGTTGGGAATGAAACTGACCAAGATTCACCGAGTATTAGAGTTTAGACAGCATCCATGGTTGAAGAAATATATTGATTTTAACAGTCAAAAAAGAAGGGAAACTTCCTCCGAATTTGAAAAAGATTTCTTTAAATTAATGAACAATTCTGTCTTTGGTAAAACCATGGAAAACGTACGCAATAGGGTCGACATAAAACTGTCTCACACGGAGAAAAAAATGAAAAAATATGTGGCAAAACCGTCATTTCAAAGATTCAAGATATTCAACGAGGATTTAGTGGGAATAGAAAACAGCAAAATTAAACTCGTACTCAACAAACCTGTGTACGTGGGTCAATGTATATTAGATCTCTCTAAATGTATCATGTATGATTTCCACTACAACCACATGCTATCTAAATATGACAACATACGTCTGTTTATGACCGACACCGACAGTTTGATGTATGAAATCTCGGAAGTGGCAGACTTATACGAAACACTACAAGAAGACAGACACTTGTTCGATTTATCAAATTACCCTACCGATCATCCAATCTATGACATCACCAACAAAAAAATACCGGGAAAGTTTAAAGATGAATTAGGTGGGACGATTTTACAAGAATTTGTTGGACTCAGACCTAAAATGTATTCCTATACATATAGCGCTGATAAATCAAAGCAACTAGCTAAGGGAATTAATCGGAGAACCATCGTACACGACTTACGTCACGATATGTATCTAGAATGCCTGTTTGAATCTAAAACCCTGATGTGTGACATGAATTCTATCAGAAGTGACAGACACGACTTACACGTATACACCATCAGAAAAGCCGGTCTCTGTAGTTTTGACGACAAACGCTACGTAAAACAAAATGGTGAAACGTGGTCACGGTCACTACAGAATAAAAAACGACATACATTGATTACAACTTTAATGAAAGTAGGTACAAGAACTATAATTATTGCTTGCCGAAATGTCGAAATACAAGGTTTTTTTAATTATTTGTTGTACATCTTAGAGTTTGCTGTTTACTTATTGTTGTACTTGCCGAAATGTCAAAATACAAGCTTTTTAATTATATGTTGTATATACTTTTAATTTTATGTATATATACGTATAGACCATATGTAGTTTTTTCATAATTATTGTTGCTTGTCGAAACGAAATACAAGTATACGACAAAGTATAAGAGTTACATCATGTTTCAGTTGGCACAATTTCAACGTATATTTTAGGTAGAAATTTCGGAAATACACATTAATCTTTGTACATATCAAACCACCCATTTAACCTCATTTCTGTGTTTGTGTTTCATTAATTATTCCTACTGATGATTATATCGGTTCTTGATTTTCTATATATTTACAAAAAAATAATTCTACAAAGACCTACAAAACCTTCACCATAGATAGACTATTGAGTACTTATTCTCTATATTCTGTACGTCCTCTTATATCTACTTTATCATTTAGCAGTATACACTCAGTCCTGCCTACACGGTATGTTAGTAAAGCAGTTTTAAAGCAATTCGAATTTTTCAAATCATTTTACCCTGCTAGGCTATTACATTCCAATGACGTTTTACCGGGGTCAGATCCTCCTGCATGTGGGTGGTCTTTCCAAGGTTACCTCCTTAGGCTATACATTCCAGGGATTTCCCCTATTGCATCATCTGACCTAAATACCGCCGTAATAAGGTATTACCTGTTGCGACTTGTTTATTTTAAGAACTAATATGTGCATAACGTTGGTGGACGTGTCCAATCTTGTTTGTGAACCTGTCGTAACTTGTTTTTATCTATAAATAAACGTGATGGCATCAATCCAAATAGGAAATGGGGGTTTTAAGCCACTTTATCCCTCCCTCTATATTTATAGTTAACAGTGAGGGATGAGGGACTGACTCCATGACCTCGATTTAGCAACTTTAACATTCCAAAAAGGGGATTTACCGCTAGGCTATTACATTCCAATGACGTTTTACCGGGGTCAGATCCTCCTGCATGTGAGTGGTCTTTCCAAGGTTAACTCCTTAGGCTATACATTCCAGGGATTTCCCTTATTGCATCATCTGACCTAAATACCACCGCCACATCCTCCTTTTAAAGGGGATTAAGGTCAAAGGTCACATTACGTCATCGCCCTAGGTCAAATGTTATAATCCCCTTTTAATCCCCTTTGAAAATGAAAGGGGAGGGGGAAATAAAGACAGTGGTGTTTGTTTCGCGGGAAATTATTAACGAAGAAGTAGCGAAAATTAGAAACCAGCGAAAAAGAACAGATTTACAGTAAATTATTTATTTATCGCCATCTGTGTGCACTATTTTGTGCGACCTGATTTTATCTATGAGTTTACGTGGGGAGACCTTTTGTACTTGAATATATATTATATAAAGATATTCTATTTGCAAAAGTCATTAAAATTAAGATTCGTCTCCTCCCTTAAATAAATAATGGTGACATAAACATATGGCTTCAAAGTAGCAAACATGGATGACTGTAAATTTAGGTGATTCAAATAGGAAACATGCATAAGATAAAATGTTCAATGTACAAATCTTACAGATTATTTTTATATTTTATGTATCCCTACATGTCTTACTAACCTGTATATAATATACACATACGTTGTAACATTACTATAATATACTAAATAATCTATATTTTCATATTGAATCTATTTTTGAATCTTTAGAGGAATGCATATATTACAAATATTAATAGAATCTTCCCTTACATTGAGGGTATGACAGAGAAATCTCAAATAATGATAATAATAATAATAATAATATACAACATTTATATAGCACCATATTTATAAAATGTGAAATAACTCTAAAGCGCTTTACACGATATGGATAATTGTATTAGTTATAACTGACAAACAAATAAGGCACACAAAACACCGTTATACATTAAATAGGAAGATCATTATCTCAATATGCTCATGTACATGACGTCTGTGCAATGAGACTAAAATGCAGACATGCAAAGGTAGGTCTTTATGTCCTTCTTGAATTTGGCCAGGGTCTTTGACTTTCTCATAGCAGATGGTATGCTATTCCACAACGTGGCCGAAACAAAATCCGACGGTTAATTTTATTGTGTTGTCTAACCCGAGGGCTCTAGCGTGACATCAACACAATGTTGTACAATTTAGTTAATTGCACAGTCAGTCAATTTTCATAATTATGGTCTGGTCCAACTCTTGAGCAACGGAATCGTGAAGGGGAAACACGATTTTAAACAAGAGGTATCACAACTGATTTAGTTTTTGAATTTCAGAAACATTTAAAATAATATATCTCTATAGAAGGTGGAAAGGTGATAATGCTATTGGCTGGAAATATCGCATGCATATTAGGTGTAAGTGGAAAAACGTCTGTGAAGACTGTATCTCTCAGACAATTTGTCGTTTTGCAGGATCACATTGTTCATAAGCGCCCCCACACGGCCAGTAATACGTGTCAGTCTTCACCTTCAGACAAATAAAACAAAATTTTGCCTGACACGTGTTCCGCGGACACGACATGTGTTTACAGCTGTCTTCCTCGTCGAACTCAATGACACAACTACACACTGGGCATGCGCGAACGGAAGGACAGTTCGGAACATCAACAAGAGTCCGCATGGAGCAATTTCTAAGGAGATTTCTTACGTTTGGAAGGCTTTGTTGACATTCTGAGTTTGTACAAATGTTTTGAGCGAAGCCTACAGGCCCTTGGCATTTCACACAGAAGGAATGTTTACAATAACGACATTTTATAACGCTTCTGTCACAGGTATCTTGCTGAGCTTCATCACAGTTTGGACATAGATAAACATTTTTCTGTTTTTCCAGCCAATTTGAAAACATTTTGGACAAGAAAAGGTTGATTTCGTCATTCGACAGACAAGCACGAATGCTGATGTCCTTGAAATTCCAAAGGTGCGCGCACTGCTCGCTAGGTCTGCTAACATCCGGTATGGCAGGGCACGTGACATCTATGGCGCCATTGTTAATTTTATTCCACGCATATGCATACAGATTATCTGGTGCTGAAATAGATATTGAAATTATGAAAATAATACGGATTAAAAATATGTTGTTTTATTAACAAAAGCGAGGTAAAATAATTGGCATTGTCCGTTATCGTCTAGTAAAAGGGGGAGGGGAGTATATTAAGATGTTTTCCTTTTCGACTTGTACTTATCTCTAACACAGGGTTGGCTGTAGGGGGTATGAGAGCATACAAATTCTGGACTTACAAAATAGTTTTAGGCTTACTTAGCTCAGATCAAACTTACATATGGCATGGCTACATGTCATGATTACACACGTGTCGTCACTGTACGGGTCTGTGACGTCACGTTTCGATGTTCGGTACCTATGGGGCGCATCTCTAGATTCAGGCCTTCGGATCAAGTACAGCTTCGCCAGGCCGGGATAGTCAGAAAGTAACTTTTTCTTATCCAAGATGATGCACCTATTTTTTACCCAAAGGTCAAGGTCTTGACCGGTATCGTCGCCATCTTCTTTCAACTTTTTGCGAAGACTAGAGATGCATTGCGCAACACTCCACGTCTAAAACGAGAGAGTACAAAAGCATTCGGGAATACAGTATTCATCTTCCAACCGCAAAACACGTAAAAATCCCCCTCTGATGACGAAACGATCAGATTTGAACTTGTGAGTGGAATATTAGCTTAAGGATCCCTGTACTGCTGCAGGTAACACTAGATAATTAACTGCACCTATTCGTACATAAACCGCCCTAAAATTCGTTTTGGATGTACCTGTAGCGAAAAATAGCGGGAGGTTCTACCGATGAACAGGTAGCTAGGTGTTAAAGCGCTAGGCATCAGGATTAGCATCTTTGTACGATCCGGTACGATCCAGTCTATCTGATTAACCTTGGCTAGCAAGGACGTAGAAGTAGAGGTTCAGGGTTAGAAACCTGGTCAGAACCCGTCCCATTATTATACTCATAACAATGAAAGTGAGTTGTTTATGTTTAAAAGGTGATTTTTTTTTTAATTATTCATAGGAGTTCCTCAAGTTATAGTTTTCTTTTCAGAAATCATACAAGTAGCCATATAGGAGAAAATGTTCCGATCAACAGTTAAAATTCCTGGCAGTGGTGGTACGGGGGACATAAAAGAAAAACGAGGCATTCGTTTTATTTTCTGTTTTATTATATCTCCCTCGTGCGATCGAGTTTGTCTTGTGGTGAATTAAACTGTGGTATTGTAGAGACATGTGGTGTGTTGACAACTCTTAGCTCCCAACACTAGCCTCGGTTAGAATACAGAGGTAAATCACTCACGTGTGGCGAACGCGCCGAGACGTCACAGCGATTGTCTGTGTTCTTAATCAATGAAGAAAACCCATTTTTTTCTCGAACAATATATATCACGAACACCAAAATAGTTCTTGGAAGTAGCCTGCCCGAATGACTTGATAGCGATGTTATTGTCGGTGCGGTCAGCAGTCTAAGAGAGATAACTCTCCCCAAAATCATTACATTATTCTCCATCAATGAACACAGTGAGGTGTTTATCATTACTTAGACTCACAGGTCTCGCTAATTAAAGCTTTTGAAAGAAGTGAAGACGTCTTCTTCACCGAACCTCCACACGCGCGGTCAGCAGTCTGAGGGAGATAACTCTCCCCAGATTCATTACATTATTCTTAATCAATGAACACTGAGGAATTTGCTAATCAAAGCTTTGAAAAGTTTAAGAAGGTACCTTTGGGACTGAAGTAAAGACATCGCCCTCTCCAAACCTCCACACACCGATGCAATTGGGCAGCACCTTCCCTCCAGTGCTTGATTTGAACAGTTTTTTCTTAGGTTCAAGAAAATCATTGTAATTGCGGCGCTTCCTATTCATTTTCCAACCCGTGGTATTGATGACGAAACAGAGGACTGAAAATGAACACAGGGACTTGTGAGTAATTGAAACTCGCCAAGGTAACATTGGGAAATGATCATTTACATTGAACACATGGATCCTGATATTAAACCTGAACCTGAACATGGTATAATGAACTACTGTGTAACACATACTATGATACGTAATGCAAGGATTTCACAATCAACACAGGGGCTTGCGAGTTAATCCAAAAACTGAAGAGCTTGATACTAAACGAACATGTGCACATCTATACATACGCGTGCATATTAACACAGAGGCATGGTGATTAAATTAACACAGTAATACGCCAATGCATATAATATTGCACAAATTGAAAATACAACGGGTAACCTATACTCATAAGATTAACACAAGAACTTGGGCATAAACAAAGGGACATGCGAATTAGGGGTCTGACAATAGCGTTACTTTTCAAATAGCGTTATAAGTGTTACTATAACCCGACAATGATCACATATACTGGGGCTGTGACACAAGGACACGATAGCTAAATGCATAGGTACAGGAACTTAAGTATACGGCACAAAATGTATGTACATGAATTCAACTTCCTGATATACACACACTGTGCGAAGTAATGTACAGTGTTTGAGGAGTTGATCAACCTAGGATATGTAACACAGGGCCTCGAGCAGTTGTACGCGTGGCTATATAAGACGTTGTATGGGTTTGTTGATGGATCAACTCCCGGTCAAATTGATACTCCATGTATTACTATATACCATCAAACATCGGGG